GTGCTGTGATTGGTTAGCTGGGCCAGTGTGTGTTGTGATTGGCAGCACTCGGCGCCTGGTCGGGAAATGTCTTGCCCCTTACCATAGCCGACTGCGAGCTTCAGTGTAAATACTGAGTCAAAATCAAATCAATTTGAGCGCGATTTAAACCCGGATGATTGTAACCACTCTAAGTTAGTCTGCCTTGGGAAAGCTAGCGTGTCTCTGACATAGTGATAACACTCGTTGCCTTCTCTAGTGCAGCTCAAACAGGTCTCGTCCCATTCGTCGATATTTGTGATATCACAAATCCCAGAAAATATGCGTTGTAGTCCAAACGAGTCGTTCGTTGTAGTTTGTGAAAAGTGATTACTGTTAAATAAAATATCTCCTTTTGAAGTGGACTTTGAGCTTTCTAACTTTGCAGATATTTTTTATGCTCAAACAGCAACATTACAGACTAACTAAAGTTGAAAAAGTGAAAAAGCATAATAGGACCCCTTTAATGTTGTATTTGTATGTATAACATATGATATCACAGATATGTTTAAGTAAGTAAGAGCTATTACATTTACACCATTTTCTTTTCTTGACAAGTAACTTTTTTACTTGGACAAGTGAATGACTGATTTACTTGTCCGAAGGACAAGCATGTCGAGGCCTGTGTAGATTAATGTCTCACTCACTTCATCATTTCATCTCCAACAGGCCCTGAAAACAGCAGACAATCAGCCTCGGAGTTCACTTATAGGTAATGTGTAATAGTAATGAGTTTTTCTGTACAATTAATATGGGACAGCAAGTCTTGTACAGTGCATGCATAATTATTAGGCACGTTGATGTTCTGATCATATCTTTTCCAAGCACATTTTACCAATTCCAAACTACATCAATCTTAATAACTAATATTAATTTTGTATTTGATCATTTATAAGTGATATATAATTGTCCATGAAGGCTGGAAGTGAAAAACTCCCTATATTCAGGTGTGCAGATAAAATTATGCAAAAAAGAGATTACAGAAGAATGTTAACTGCAAAAGAATTAAGAATTAAGGTGAAGAATTAGGTGTGAAACCATCAGGAACCATTTAGTCTCCAGCACCACCATTTTCCAAAACTACAACCTACCTGGAGTCTCCAGAAGTGCAATGTTTTCAAAAAAATTACCCTCACTTAATAAGAATAACATGCTGAAGTGTTGTGAAATACATGAAGGACCAGCATCACATCCTCTTGTGCCACTCTTTCAAGAATTTATCTTCCAGAATCTGGCAGTCTCATGGGCATTTAATAATCTCTTCTTTGCATAATTATATCTGTAAAAGAAAATCTGCCTAATAATTATGCACACCTGGATATAAGGAATTTTTCACTTCTAGCCTTCATGGACAATTATATATCACCTGATCAAATACAAAATTAATAGTAGTTATTTGATTTGGAATTGGTCAAATGTGCTTGGAAAAAACAAGGTGCCTAATAATTATGCACGCACTGTATTATATTGTAAGTGATTTCATAGGTTTCTGATTTTCACTGATACAAAAAATTTAGTTTTCTGAGGTATTTATGCAATGCTTTCATGTCTTCCAGTGGCCACACCTCTCCTCACCCTCGAGCTAAACTAACCCCAAGCACAGCCCCTCTATCCCTGGAGCAGAGTAAGTGTACACACTGTTGTTGAGCAACACGGAAAGAATTTCAAATCTGAATAAGATGTATGTGCCAGTAACATCAGACTATAATAAAGAAATGGCAGTTCTTGTTAACTAAATGTTACCTGTTCTTCTTCAAAGTCGTGTGATTAAAAAGTGTTTATCAAAAAGTGTTTATGTGGTAAAACTGCTATATGTAAGTAGATTAAGTTTAGTTCATGGTACTTTAATATTTGTATTTTTTTTTCCAAAAGATTATTCCCTTTAAATACTGTACTTTCACTAATATATAATAATATAATATAATCTTGAGTTATATTTCTGGAGGAAATGTTGTTGTTGTTTTTTTCATTATTGCAGGGAAGGTGTTTGTTACTTACGAAGCAGACAGTGAAAAACATGTCAAAGAGATCATCAACTTTGTTGCCCTACTGAGACACAACGGCTTCTACACTCATGTAAGACAAGCAACCTGTACCAGACATTGCCTTGCAGCCATACGTGTCACCTGATATGGGGTCTGCCAGAGAGTATGTTCAGTCTCTTTGTTCTTTTTGCACAGATTGACATGTTTGAACAACAGTTCAAGAGCATAAGCAAGATTGACTTCATGGAGAGATACATCAGTGAAGTAAGTAGAAACCAGGCTTGCTAGTATTTCAGAGAGCATGTTATTCCTAGTTTGACTTACACAACAGAAGTTCTAGTCCAAATTGCAGCTTATTCTGACCAAGAACCACCTACAGGAAAAGATTGTATGACTGAAAACTCTAAAGCAACCCAAACTGTTTTGTTTTTGCAGTACATGGCATTTAGGTGCTGGTTTATTTGAAAAAGATGATATCACAATAATAGAGTGAAAAAAAATATTTAATTAATTGGATGACAGTCTCTGCAGACTTTTTAACAGAAAACACTAGAAAAAGAGGAAAATGTGTGTAGACTGTGAGGAGAGTGGTGATTTTTCGAAAGTCATTCATGATTTGGTGCTCAAATGGTTATTATTATCATTGTTGAAAACAGTTTAGGAATGGGCCAAAATACCAGCAACAGTGTGTGAAAACCTTGTGAAGACTTACAGAAAACGTTTGACCTCTGTCATTGCCAACAAAGGGTATATAACAAAGTATTGAGATGAAATTTTGTTATTGACCAAATACTTATTTTCCACCATAATTTGCAAATAAATTCTTTAAAAATCCTACAATGTGATTTTCTGGATTTTTTTTTTCTCATTTTGTCTCTCATAGTTGAGGTATACCTATGATGAAAATTACAGGCCTCTCTCATATTTTTAAGTGGGAGAACTTGCACAATTGGTGGCTGACTAAATACTTTTTTCCCCACTGTATATTAAAATCTTAATATTTTTGTGGAAATGGTGATGCATTTTTTTAGGATTCTTTTATTAAGAGAAGGTTTAACCGTATTTATTTGAAATAGAAATCTTTTGTAACATTATAAATGTCTTTACTGTCTATTTTTTTCCTGAATAGACTTTCACTACTGTGTCATTGGTGAAGGTATTACATGTATCCCTGGCTTCTAAAAAGTCAAATGTTATTTCTAATATATCATCAAAGACATGGCAATCTCTGTAACCTCTTAAACAGAACAGGGCACAGCTGGGAAAACTTGTTCAAACTTCTCCATAATTAAGGATGTTGTCACGAATTCGGTTCATGGACTTCCGTTTATTCACCACCAGATGTCACCCTTTCTATTACATTGACTCTCGCACTACACAAACTGTTGTATAACACCCCGGACTACATTTCCCATCATTCTTTGCACGATTTGCACACTGCACTGATTGCACACAGCTGTTTCTAATCACCTCACTCATTATATAACACCCACTCTAACCACATTTCTCTGCTGAGTATTGTTTAGCCTGTACCCCTTTCCGAGTCTCCGTGGTTTCCTTGTTTTGCCTTGCCTGTTTTTGCGGTTTTTGATCTTTGCCTGTTTTCCTGTTTTTTTTCCCTCTCGTCTCACCCCTGTGATTCTGTCTGCCAATCGGTGACCTACGCTAGCCCTAGGACTATTCTTGTGTTTTGACCGCCATATACCTGTTTGCCATTGTTTGACCCTGCCTGTTTACCACGTCTCTCTATTAAAAGCTTGCAGATGGATCCACACGTCTCGCGTCTCGTCAGCCCCGTTACAGATGTCTTCAGCTCTCACAAATTTCAAATTTTTTTGTTCATTGACATTATATGTCTGATAAAATGTCAGAATGATAAATGGCAAGGATTGACCCCTGACTTATAGTTGAACATACTATATTTGCTTCTGAATGCATAGAACCAGTTTTAGCTTGGAAGTTGGACATAATTTATTTATCTGACTGATGTTTAAGAAAGCATTATAGCAGGAAACAGTCCAACAAAAATTTTAATTTGATGCATTTTGAGGGGGAGGAAAAGAGACCATTTAATAAAAAAAGCATGTAACCCTGAAACATATCACTTTAATTAAGAGCTTAAGTGGGGGAGGACATATTTCTGCCATCATTTTCTTGCAGTGCCACAGTTACAAGAAAACTGTCTGCTGCACTGAGAACGATAAACCTTTCATGACTAATTTCAGTTGATTGTTTTTTCCTGAGTATCTGAAGTAATTGTTCCCTCATGTCCATTCAGTTGTCTAATTTTGTGTGTTTGTGTTTTTTATGCACAGAAAGACTATCTGATCATCATAGTCATTAGTCCAAAGTACCATGAGATTGTGACCAATGCCTCGTTTTGCATGGAAAATGATGAAACACTCAACACTGTCTACATACACAAGCAGGTACAACTTGGGTGGAAAGGAATCTAGGTTTTTCTTTATTTTTCTTGTCTAATGACTCATAAAATCGCTTTGTCTTTTAGTTACAAAACGAGTTCATTCAGAACGGTGCCAGGAATTACAGATTCATCCCCATCTTGTTTCCTGGTGCCAAGAAGGTAAAACTGCATCTCTTTCCAGTAACTTATAAACGTAATTGCTTAACGAACAGGATGTTTGTGTTTGAACAAGTACTCGATCAAGGAGCCAAAATGGTAATTTGTGATTAACTGTTATGATAACAGCAACAAACATTTGTGTTTGCTCCATTGGATTCCACTTGAATCCAATTAGATGTAATGATGCCTCGTTGTTAGTTTACAACATTTATGTGTCTGCTTCTTTCTGTCAGTGTCACGTCCCTTCATGGCTTCAAAGCACACAAATCTTCACCTGGCCCAGAGACCGTGATGACATTCTTCGTAGACTCATGCGTGTTGAGAAGTACAACCCTCCACCCATCGGAGAGCTGCCCACTATTGTCTCCATCCCAATTTAGGTGGTTAAGTTTGCTTATGTATGTACATGCTTCTGCATCACATTAGGAACATTTGGGGGGGGGGGGTAACAGAAGTTACCTTCAAACCAAGCAGCTTTCTGATGGTCATTGATACAAATTAATGATACCAACTTGAACTTGTTGCGAAATCTGCATGGGGAAATCTTTTGCTCCATGTCAGGTTCCTGATCTTGTGGATTTCTATTGAAATGACTGGATTTTTCCACAAACATTCGACAAACAGTGATAAATGTGACAGCATTTTTGGACTTAATGAAACTTTCTGTAACATACCCAATTGCTATATAAGAAAGATTTTAAGATAGAATTACTAAGGTAGACCAGAAATCTTCAGATGCAAACATTTTCACATGCTTCTTGCTGTTGTGAGAACCTGAAAGAAGCCGGTACTACAATATCATCACACACTGTATAGTTTATTTTAAAAAATGACTTGTGTGTTGTGCCTTAGAATTTCTGTTTGAGTCATTAGTAATGTGCCAGATTTTTTATTATTTTTTTTATTGTCAGCATCACATGGAGATTTCATGGCCATTCATGTTCTTAGATGATCGTGGCTTTTTCCTTTTAATAAATGAAAGAATTCAGATGGTTTGTTATACAACTTGTACAAGAATAGACATAGGCTTTGGAGGGACAAAAGTACAAGTCATCTCAACTCAACCTTTTTTGTAGAGCACATTTAAAAAGAAGAGTTAAACCAAATGCTTTACAGTACAAACTCAGTCAAAATAACTACCATCACAGAATAATATATATGATCAATATCACAAGAGTAGCAGTGTCCTAGTTAATCACAGCGTGCCAATATACAGCCATATTGCAGGGCTACGAGTGTGATATTGCGTTTATACCACAGTTTGACGGCATGAGTGTGTAAATACATAAACAACGGAGTGTCTTTAAAAACCCTCTTTTATGCGCAACTACTTCCTTCCGCCACGGATACAAATCTCAAATTGACAGTTTAACAGCTGAGCTCAAGCTTCCGTTACTAATTCGAAACAGTCACTTTAGAACAAAAGAAGGAACGTTGAGTTGCTTCATTGAAAACATATTGTATTATGGTATTAAAAGCTCAATGTATTATGTAGAGTAGACAAGAGAGAGATGGACTGAGCGAGTGTGACTACCTGCATCTGATAAAGCATTCATTCTTCTTCAGCTCATCTCATATTCAAAATGAAACATGTCCACCAAGGACATGTCCACTGTTTCCCAGCCAACGGATATCATTCCTGGGAGCAGTTTTCGACTGTCCAGAACATGCACTGGCTATTCAGCAGCTCGCAGCCTCTTTCAAAATAGGAGCCTCTCACCCCCTCAAGACGTTTAAAAAGATGCTGGGTCTCATGCCCTTGCATCTCCGGTGCTACAGCTGGGCCTGCTTTGCATGCGGCCCCTTCAGTACTGGCTGAAACCGCTGGTTCCGTCCCACGCCTGGCGTCTCGTACGCCTTCGTACCAAGGTGGACCAGGCCTGCATGGCAGGTCTGGCCCCTTGAAAAGATTCTCAGTGGATGGAACAGGGTGTGCCCCTGGGAATGGTCGGCAGAAGGAAGGTAGTCTCGACAGATGCTTCCAACACAGGTTGGGGAGCGCTGTGCGACGGCAAACCAGCTTTTGGCCTCTGGTCGAAAGAGGAAGGACAGCTGCACATCAACTGCCTGGAGATGCTGGCAGTGTGTTTGGGCCTTCGCACCTTCTTACCAGACCTAAGGGGACACCACATCCTAGTCTGATCGGACAGCATGATGGTGGTTTCCTACATAAATCGCCAGGGAGGACTCTCCTCGAAGCGCCTCTTTATTCTAGTAGAATGCTTCCTGGAATAGGCTCAGCTCAGCTTGCGTTCGCTGAGAGCTACACATGTGCCGGGCAGGTTGAACCAAGGAGCAGACATGCTGTCTTGGAGCAATGTCTCCTCAAATGAGCGGATGCTCCACTCCTTGTCTTTACCTTAAAAAACAACTATTTTTGCCCAACTTATTTCTCAAGGGACATGAATGCTTTGCTTTGGCCCACAACTGGCCCAACCTCCTCCTTTGCGCGTTTCCCCTGATCGCCCTGATCCCACAGGTAATCAGGCGAATCAGGGAACAAGAGCACAAGGTTCTGTTAGTGGCCCCGCTCTGGAGGAACCAACACTGGTTTGCAGAGCTGTCTCAGCTGCTAGTAGCATCTCCATGACCCATCCCCTGAGATGAGTCCTACTTTCTCAGGTGAACAGAACGATATGGCATCCCCAATTGAGCTGTGGGCTCTGCACCTCTGGCCTCTCGATGGGTGCCTGCGGACCTCCCCGAGAGTGTATTAAATACAATTTCTCAGGCTAGAGCGCCGTCTACAAGACGCCTCTACGCCCTTAAATGGTCGGTCTTCTCCGCCTGGTGCACGACCCGCGGTGAAGACCCAGCATCCTGTGACATATCTCGGATATTGTCCTCCCTGCAAGAGCTGTTGGACAAGGGCCGTTCCCCTTGTAACCATCCCAGTGAAATTTTTCAACTGGGAAAAATCACAAAATAATTTAGGGGAGGGTACCTCAACTGAAAACGACACCTAACACAGTAGTGCATTACAAAATGTTTATATAAATAAAAGCAATTCACAGATCATTACGGCATGTGTATGAAAAAGTCAATAAAGTATTTGACTACAAAACTAACCGTCGCATTAATTTATCAAAATAAAGGACAAAAAAACGTATCTGGTTGAAGGAGTACTCGTCTCTAAGCTGAAACAAGCACTGAATCCGAATACTGAAGTCCACAATAATGATAGGAGTTAACAAAATCCAATAGGCCGATAGCAAGCGTAGCATTAATAATCAGCAATCCGAGTTTCCTCAAAAAATAGAGTGCGTTGCAATTCTTTGATGTTGATTTGTCCCTCGATGAGCACAGAGTTTTGATGAAGTTACTTCTTAGTCCATTGATGAGGCATTCAAAGTAAAGAAGAAAACGGAAAGACAGAAACAAAAACAGTTCTTCTACAAAACAAACAAACAACTAGTATTAGCATTTAGCAACAACCCATAATTTCACCACTAGATAAATTATTTACAAAATAAGTGCAAAGTTACACAGCACAGAATAAACTGATACACTTACTTGACTGAGCTGAAAACCTAAGTTTCTCAAACTGAATTCCATTTGTGGTAAGGTTATGCAAGTGAAAGCCATGCTTCCACTTAACCAAACAGGTATCTCTTACTCTACTGCCTACATCCATTTTATCCCTTACCATAGAAAATCCTGTAGGGCCCCCTGGAGCACAGTAGAGGAACTACACACAAAAACAACAACATAGTAACTGTACTATAGTCAGTTACACCCTTCCACGCTCAAGGTCTACGTAGCAGCCTACAAGGCTCCTATAGCCGGCCAATCAGTGGGCAGGAACAACCTGATTGTTCCCTTTTTGAAGGGGTCTAGGAGGCTCAACCCGCCTCGCCCTTCCACAGTCCCTACATGGGTTCTGTCCACGGTACTGAGGGCTCTAAAGAGTCCTCCCATTGAGCCGCTACAATCCATTGACCTTCGTACCCTGACGCTAAAAAACGTTCTGCCACTGGCGTTAGCATCGGTAAGCTGAGGGGAAATCGGAAGGCGCTTTCTGTGAGTCCCTCCTGCCTTGAATTCGAGCCCAGCGACTCTAAGGTCATCCTGAAACCAAGGCATGGATGCGTACTTAAGGTGCTCTCCACTCCGTTCAGAGCACAGGTTATAACTATGAGAAAATTTTGGTTTTATATTGAGCGTTCCACCCCGAGCAGGCAGTCAGAACAACTCTTTATATGCTTTGATGGCTGCACCAAAAGGCTTTCCGGTCACTAAGCAGAGACTCTCCAGGTGGATAGTTGACGCTATTACGCTAGCATACTCCTCTTTGGGCCTACACTGCCCCATGGGAGTAAAGAGCCAATTCGACTAGAGGTATGGCCTCGTCTTGGGCATGGTCTAGCGGTGTGTCCATTGCAGAAATCTGTGCAGTGGCCGGCTGGGCCTCGCTGTCCACATTTACCAGGTTCTATAATCTGGATGTCCTTTCTGCGTAATGGGCTCATTCTTGCCTTAGGGCAATACCAGTGCTTAGGCTTTGCCTCCCTTCTTACGCTCTTGGCCCTCACCGAGTGCCAAGGCTGTAAGAGTCTTCTTGGAACGATTACTCATGACCGGGCTGACCTCTGCAAGTTTAGCCCTATTGCTTCCTGCGGGGCATTCCCTGCTAAATACTTGGTCCCTCTGGGCCCCTTGTGATGCTTAAGGCAAGTTCAAGTATGAGTCGTTCCTCTAGCATAACACGGCGGGATTGTACTGGTTCCCCATAGTGTCTTAGTGACGCAGTACGAGTGAAGTATCGATAGGGAATGTACACGATAACTAACGTAACCTTGGTTCCCTGAGATACGGGAACGAGTATTGCGTAACTAGCCATGCTATGCAGCTGCACGACTCAGTCGTCGCTTCAGTCGAAGTAACCTGAGGATCCTATGGCAACAGGCCAGCTTATATAGCCAGATGGGCTCCATCGCCATAGGCTGGTACACCTCCACTACCGAGCCATTGGTTCGATTTTTTTTTTTCCACGAACCAATGGCCATGCAGTTACACTGCGTTATTAAAAAAGGCTTCAGTCATCGGAGAAAAAGGAGTTTTCCCCATAGTGTCTTAGCGACGCAGTACTCATTCCCGTATCTCATTCCCGTATATTCAGTGGAAAAAAAATGACTTAAATATGTATTTTCCCCCACAAAGCTATTTTTAGGGTCACCTTTTTGAAGTTTGACAGCCCCAGTCAACCATCGACTTTATGTAAGAGAGTAAAACATCTTTTGTGTTCAAATAATGGCACACGGGTGAGTAAATGATGTCAGAATTTTCTTTTTCGGGTGAAATATATCTCTCAAACAGTTGGCAGGATGGAATATCAGAGAGCTTCATCCATTTAGTGTGTCTTCAAGGAGCTACTGAAGGTTAATTAAGCCCCATTAAACAAAGTGTAACCCTTCCTATTGAGGCTTATCAGGAATTCATTATTATAAATTAGCCGTAACAATATAATCAAGAGGATTTGGTCATAGAGAGACTGACATAATCCTCATATGAACAATATTAGCAGTATCCAAAAAGGATTTGCTGAGGAGAAATGGTTATCAGTTTGTACTTAAAATGAGATGAGAAATAGAATGATTGATTACTCAAAGCAGTGACAGAAAAGGTTATGGGAACAGGATCTCTAACATAGTCTTTTTATAGCTGGTTAATTTCTAGATTAAACAAGTTAATTCCAGGAATATGTCATCCATCAACTGTCTGCACCACAGCTCTGTGAAATATTTTGAAGGCTTGTCAGTGACAATATGAAGTGACAGTGTTTTCTTCACCTTCATTTTGGAAAATCTACAGAGTTCAATCATAAACTGCAGGATAAAACTGCTGTTGTTTGCTTTGTTGTGCCGTAAGATTGCACTCTTTACATGTGCTATTAGAGGTTCAATAAGAAATCTGATGGTAGGCCTACTATTCCTAAACTTGAGCAACTTGTCTCCTCAGTCCCCAGACGTTTGCAGACTGTTATAAAAA